TGATATGTATGTTCACAGACTGAAAGGAAGTGGCAATGTTTGCTTTCCAAGCAATCGAGTGGTACTGAGATGTGATATATGTAATACACTGTAAAATTATAACAGTTAGGATGATCATGAGAGTTTAAAATCAATGATTGAGAGGGTGTTGTGACCCCTTAATTTCCAATGCATAGATTGAATTTCCAGATTCAAAACTTTGTCCAAGGTTTTGAGAAAATCACTCTGACAATTCAGCTAAGCGATGAGAACTCTGCACAATATATAACCCAGTGCTTGCCTGATTTTTCAGATCTATGATCAACAAGGGAGTCCAACTTTTTCTGTGTACTGAAGCCAGTAGCAAAAAAAAAAAAATTAATTTTAAGCTTGGTAAATAGACTTTTAGTTGAAAAGTCTTAATTCATCTGAATTTACCAGTGATTATTTATTTTGTAAAGGCAGAATTAAAAAGTAATCAAGTCTGACAGCCCCTAGATGACACAATCATTGCTACCTAGCAAAGCTTTGTCAGATAATTTGGACATTGCTGAATTTATTTATGCAGTAGTTGAAGAGGAGTTGCGTGGCAAGCTGCTCATGTTGAAAACAAATTAAAACAAATGAAGCAGCCACACACAGATGATGGTAATAAATAATAAGACAAGAAGAAAACAATAATAACATAGAAACAAAGGATCTGATCTCAAAGTTAAAAATTGATGAATATGAGTTAAATGCAATGAATAACCTTGAAAGTGTTATTGAGAAATAGTGTTCCTGTGATTTTCATTAATGCTGAGATAGTGTTTCAATTCTGACATTCTGCAGGTTTGTGGATTTTTCCATGGAAAAGACAAGAGTAACAAACACACACCATGGCAAGAGAGAGAGAGTGAAAACAGTTTTACTTGGGCTTCAAAAAACAGTTTCACTTGATGGTTCAGACACAACTTTATCTTGTGTTTCTCATAGTGCAAAGATATTTTAAGTTGATCAAGTCTAAATATTAGTGAGTGAATGCAATATTCAGTAGTACATGAAATTCACAAATAATGGCTTAGATATTATAACAAATATATGCATGTGGTTTATCCAGTGCTTTATTTGGTTGTGAAAGGAATATTTTCAACCATGCAGATTGAAATATTTCTTATATGCAAACAGTTTCACTGGATATTTACTTCATTGTTTCATTACAAAACACAGTTTTGTAGATTGGAAATGCAGGCTGCAAGTGTAATAGGGGAAGTTAGAAGGTACAACCTGTTTGGCAAAACTTTGTAATTTGACGTAACTGTTACACAGTTTGGAAATGGAAACCTTAAGGCAAGACCATAAGTGCATTGGTAAAAGCTAACATTAAAAAGTGAGTTCAGCAGCCCCTAATCCAAGTCAGCTTGACTACGTATGACCAGAGTAATCTCAATCACTATTTCTTCCTCCTGGTATCAGGCTCTGTCAACCACATGGTAGCCTAAGGATGAGACCAGATTAGAGAATTTGGTGCATGTGTGTTTGTTGTCTGGCAGAGGCATCAGAAGACAGAAAAACCACAACTAGCTGGTCAATTGCAAAAGGGAAAGTAGAGGATCTGGAATTCCTCAAGTTACTTAGGCCCATGTTCTATAGATGATAATGGGTGCGAGTACACGTTAATCCTCTCTGTACGGGCATCATTTACTGTGCATGTAATGAGGTTTTAATGACTTACATTCAAAATTTTATTAAACCACTTTTTGTTGATGTTATACTAAATAGTACAGCATAAAATTGTAGCTAATAATCCATATTTTAATAGCATATACGTTTTAAATTCTTAATCTTATATGGCACTATTTAAAAAATATCCTTAATGATAATATAATGAAAATGTTTCACAATGCACGCATGTGAGCAACTCACGGGTAACGTAATTCGATAAAGTACAGTGAACTGCTCGTTACCCCAAGTGATTTCTAACTTATAATGGCATGAATAGTAGTTAGTCATGGTTCAAAGGGCAATAAAACAATAAAATTTAATTATAAATAGATGTATACTGTTATAAGTTTAAAGCTATTTAGGATAAACGAATGGAGTTTCATGTTATAATTTTAAGTCATTCTAGAAAGAAAAATAGGGTAATTTAGATTTATTTTGATTTTTTTTTTGGTGGTTACGAGGTCGGTTGAATTGACCAACCTTGCATGGAGTTAGGGTAGAGAAGATAACAAATAAAATATAAAGTTTTACTGAAAACAAAGATTTGGAATGTATTTAAGAGGTTTTAGAGATTACACAAATGAAATTTGAGACTTTTGAGATGAAGTATTTTTAATCTTGCAATGAAAATCACTTTGCACATGAATTATTCAAAACAAATACTCAGTATATTGACAGACAAATCTATTTTTAATTTATTAAAAATACTTCAATAAAATGTAGGAATTTTTGTCTGTGAAAGACTTATAATGTTTACTGAAAGACTGTCAAATTTTGTGAAGATATACACACTGTATTAAAAGTTAGTGGTATCAAATCTATAAAGACTTTAAACAAGTACAAAGAGGTCACATGGTCAGTCAAACTGACCGAGCCTGTATTGAGAGAGTTGAGCCTGTAGACACGTTGACTGACTAGTACCTAGTTTACAGTTGCAACAGAGTATTACAAGTCCTTTTAACACACACATTTGGCTGAACCTTTGCAACTGAATCTGGTCTTTCACTATTCAAAGTCAGGTTTCAGCCATGGTCAGTCTCTGATGGACTAGCCAGTGGTTCTCCTGACTTGTTCCAGTTTTACTTTAACTGAACTGTAATGGATCCCTCATCATACTTCAAGGAGTTGTAGCTACTCCAAGATTTGTATGACTTCCTCTACAGTGGGAGACGTGAAGTTGTCAATAGTGCCAGTTAATGTTGAGCCCATTGACAAAGATGCATTGTTTACTTCAAGGTTTGAGCTCCTCATTATGGTTCATGAAGGTCCTGATGCTGCTGGGAAATCCAATAAAGTCCAGCACAGAATCACTGGAGTTGAAACTGACAGATCTGAAAGAACAAAGCCTCTAAGTTGGAGTCAGTTGATGCCATCTATGAAGATCAAAAGAAAGAGGATCCCACTGATTTACTCAGTCTTAGGTTGTGGGACCACTACATTCCTAAACCCAAGAAGAGATTTCTGGTGCTAGGTACATCTAGAAGGATATCCAAGTTCTGGGAAGTTAAGGCTGGTGTTGGCTCCAACAAATCTGTGAAGTTAAAAGCAAGAAAGGCTAGAGCAACAGTGGCATAGATGAGCCAGATGGCTCATTCAACACTTTCTGCCATCAATGAGAGACCTTGAGACCTTTGATCTTCGGAGCTGGAACTACCAGAAGATCCAGAAGAAAATACACCAGTGCCATCAAGACCACAGAAGACATCGCAAAGGGGGCTGACCATAGAATTTTACATTAAGCCACCTAAGGTGACTGCGAACTGGTCCAAGTTAGAGGAAATTTCAGTACTCAAGTGTCATTGCTAGAAGATGGCAGCCAAATGGATGGAGGCTTGAGCCCTCTATAACCAGGAAGATCAGCTGAGGTAAAAGGCCACTCCCCCATCAAGATATAAGGAAGATATCTGGTACCTGCAGAAAAAGCAAGCTGAAGCTGAGAGGAACCTGGGGAACCCAAACACACCTTAAATACCAATCGTAAGATAACAGTGATGCTGGCTGTTCTGCTGGAGAGATCAAAACCTTCTTGGGTGAGTATATATATTTTACATATGTTTAACCTGACCTATAATAAAGCCAGTGTGTGGCACATCATGTAATGTTTGATTTCTCGAAATAGAAGTAGTCATAAAAGCCAAAATTCTTTTATCCAGACAGAATACTGATTACTGTCTACCCATTACGATTTTAGTGATGGGGGTGCAAGAGGACCGTGAAACCTTATAAGTGTAGTAAGTGCTGGTATAATAAGCCTAAAGTGGTGTGAGATCACCTAGCCTAGAGCCAAGTGCATAAAATGTATCACGAAAATAAAAATATCAATTCAATTTTAAACTTAAGTCATTTCTGAATTAAGATATTTTCTGTTATATCACCAATGTTTTTAATAAAAACAAACCTCTTTAACTCTCTCAACACGGGTTCTGTCAATTTGACCGACCACGTGACCTCTTTGTACTTGTTTGAAGTCTTTTTAGATTTAATACTTCTAGCTTTTAATATAGTGTGTGTGTGTATATCTTCACAAAATTTGGCAGTCTTTCAGTTAATATTATAAGTCTTTCACATACATAAAACCTTCTTTTTTAGTGAAATATTTTTAATAGTCCGTGTACAAAGTAATTTTCATGTTAAAATTAAAAATACTTTCCCTCACCACAAAAATCTCAAATTTCCTATGTGTAATCCCTAAAACCTCATAAATGCATTTCAAACGTTTTTTTTCCAGTAAAATTTTATAGTTTATCTGTAATTATCTCTACCCTATCTCAAAGTGGGATTGGTCAATTCAACCAACCTCATAACCACCAAAAACAAAATCGAAATTAACCAAAAGCTTACCAAGTTATCCTGAAAATTCAAAATTCCATATTTTATTTAAGTGCAAAACTAGCCATAAAACTGAACATATGACTACATTGTAATCTGCTTACTTTTTGGTGATATTTTAAAAACAGAATAAATGTTCATTATCTACTAAATAAGGTAGTTTGAACCTAGTGTTGGTTAGAAATATGGTAATTGAAAATGATAAAAAATATCCTTTCAGTTTTTTTGTTTCAAAGCAACATTACATGTTAGAAGCACTTCAGCTAATACTGATATTACCAATTACTCAGTCTGAATTCTTATTGAATTATTCTTTAATTACCTTGAATAAACCACTGACCAAAATGCTTTTCTAAATTTTAGTTACATCTAAACTTATGGTTAGCTTCTACTAACTATGATTTAATTGAATCCAGATTTTTATCTTTAATGACAGTGCAATACTTTTTAGATATTTAACATGAATTCTTTATACCAAGTTAACTCACCTGAAATGACAGGTTTCCAATACTTGAAGGCTGAAGCCAAAGAGCTACTAAAATAATCAACAATAGTAGAGCCAAAATTATTCCTGGTATGATAACCTGAATTTCTAAAGAGCTAAGCTGATCTTCAACTCCAACCAGGAAACAATGAAAGGCCAACACCACCAATACTGAAACAAGAAGAATCACATTTCAATATCAACATAAGAATTTACAGAATAAAAATTTCCTTAGCTCTTAGGTTAAAAAAACCTTATCTAAATGAATAAATCTATACCAATTTAAGATAGACGATGATGAAAGCAAAGGATATGGAGTTATGGTTTCCAGAAAAAAAATCATTTGTGAATGTTTTGAACAGAAAACTCTGTATTCTGGCATAAAGAAGATTTTATATGTAGTGACAATTTATGTGAAAAAATCATATTGATAATTATGTGGATCTTTACTTCCCAAATAAGTAATATAGTACTAAAAACATTAACTAATAAGAATAAGCAAACTAAAATAACCAATAATGGATGACTGATTATAACAATGTTTGTGTGTTCACATATGTAAAACTTATTACGAACACAAAAGTTTTAGTAAAAATCTAGGATTGAGACATTTTGACATAGAATTTAACTATTATGTCAGAAGTATATATTTATCATATTTACATTTAAAATTAAATTTCTGAAAACAATTATATTACTGCACTGTCAATAAGCAAATTTTTACAAGAAATAATATACAATGTGAATATCATAAGTATTGAGTTCTTCAAGCAGGTATATTAATGTAATGAATCTTTTTATTTCCTATAGTTAACTATATTCTTTATGTTACGTGTCTTTAGTGTTTTATATTTTTATAATCACCTACAATATATTCTCATTATTGGTAAGAACACCTATTCATTTTTATTTTAAAACAAAATATTTTATCGCTTGATAAAGAACTTCCTAACTTAAAACAATTAAAAAGGCTAAACAATTAAGGGTATAAAAAGACATAATAACTTTTATATACAGAAAATAAGAAGCAGTACTTGCTTGATACAAATTCATCAGTTTTGTTACACTGATAAGTTCATTAAACAGGATATAGCAACTACAAAAATACTTCTATACCTTCAAAGTAAACAAATGAATAATTTAGTATTCTTAACACTTACCCAAACAATAAAGTTTGGCCTTAAATTAAATGTCAAAGTTAGTTACTTATTTGTCATGTTTAACAATAAAATAAACCACTATTATTTCATTAGCTAGGCATTAAAAAAATTAATTAATTGAAGGTAAAGAAGTTGGAATAATTTATTACTGTGTACAGCTACTGATGGTATATTTTGTTACTAAATTTAAGTATTCAAACTTAGTTTCAATTATAGAAATCAGTGGCTCATAGCAGAGAAAATGCTTACCAATTCCTGCCACCAAGTAAGTACTGACTTGTGATGACAAATAGGTTGGTTTGCTAAGATTATTAAAGTTGAATATTTGCTGCAGAATCTGCCGACCAGTGTAGTCTTCTGTGGACAACAGCATGCCATTATCCACAACAAATCCAGAGTTTAATGTTGTCGCGTGGTCTAATGAACTGTCTGACAGATAACTGTCAAAGTACAAAAAAAAAATATTGAGAAGTTATTCCCATATATTATAATTATCAAATTTTGTGAAATAAACAAAAACAACAATAATCAATCTTTTACTTACATAGTTTTAATGGTATTTGAAAGACATTTTATGTTCAATACATTATACGACCATTTTTGTGCATAGATTTCATAAAATAAGTAAGAACTTCAACATTTAAAAATGCACAATAATTTATTGTTAAAATAAAATATATAATTAAAAACTCCAAAGAATTAAAACTCTACATGTTTCAGTGGAAAAACTTCCACCATCTTCAGTAGACATGCTATTGGAGACATTAGGTGACACTTTTTACCATCAACAAAATCGAAAACTTGCTTCCTTGTACACAATTAGTCTGTAACTACAATGGTAACTTTGATTAGAGAGTTTATATAAAAACACAACCACTGGGTTATACTTCAATTTTACAAGCTATATATCAATATTGTTCAAAAAAAAGTTAATTAAAACCTTAATTCATTGAGAATGTAAAACTGTAAGCACTTATGAAAGAATATCAAGGGATTGCTTAGCAGGAATGATTTTCCTATTACTTGACTGGTAGATTAATTTGTTATTATTTGAACAAATGAAACTTTATATAAGACAATCAATGTAAAAAGTCCATAAATGCACTACATTTATAGCTTTGTCATGTGTATATATATATATTGGCAAACATGTTTGGTATGTCAAAAAATATTTTCATATTCTCCTTAATAATGTACCAATGCAGCTAAGATGTTGTTTGCAGTATTTTTCTAGATATCAATAAAGAATTGCTTCTCTAACAACATCAAATGTGGTTTGTCAATTAACCTATCCTTGTTGTAGGCAAGATTATATTGGATCCACCAGGAGGTGAGAGGAGATAGCATGAAAGAAAATGCAAATTGAAGAGTACTGGATAGCTTGAGCATATTGGAGCATGTCTCAGGCAAGTCTGAAATAGTCATCCACCTAAATTGCTTTAATATTTTAACAATGGCTAATAAATAAAAAAACCTATGAATAAAAGAGGGTTTACTCATTTATAAGCAAATGCTACAACTTAAGTCAGTTCAGCTTATCAGTTGCTGATTAAGCTACAAGATAAAGATAACACATTTGAATATTTATATTTTCAAGAAAACTAACAAACACAACCTTCCTAAGGTACATTACACTATGTAAACAAATTTTATAAGTATAATAAAATGTATTTGAACAATTTTTTTAGCAAGAGATAATCCATTTTAATTGACTTAAATTATAGATATGCCGTATATTATCCCATATCAGACCAATTTTACATTAAACATAATTTCACTATAATCTGCTATAACAAAGGTAAAAGTTTTAGAATGTAGTGAAAAGTATTTATTTCGTTTCTTACATACTTTGGGAGAAGGAAAATATGAGTTAGATCTTGCAAAATAAACAAGAAAAAGCAACTTACGTTTCAAAAGATGGGGCTGTATCACTTTTTTCAAGACTCCTTGTAGGTGATTTGAGTTCAATATATTCTTCACTTGCTTTGTACCTACAGCAAACAACAAATACAACATCCTAACAGATGGATTGAGAAATTCATGTTATGCAATAACAAACGGGTTCATCTCATTCAGATCAACTATTAAAACGAGATGTACAAACAAAATAAAGATATGTATGTAAACACCTACACATGTATAGAAGTTTAAGGAACACATGACCATGATAATTTTTACATTAGCCTCTCTTGTAAAAATCATGCAAACAAGTTAAACAAATTCTTATAAAATATAGTTCTTTATAAATAGTGCTTCTTATTCAAATGTGTATGTATTACTCTACACAACTGTAACTTTAGTTACATAGAGATCCCAAATTTTATCTAAATTTTAAGTATTAGACATTTTTAACTTGCCAAAGTATATTAGTGTCAGTTACTGGTTGACTATGCTTAATTATAATTCAGACATAAGAGGCTTCTACTGAAAAAATCTTGTTTTTATTACTGAAATATTAAAAATTGTTACACTTCACGATGAGAGAGTTAGCATAAATGCTTACTAAAAAAAGTGTCAAGTAGATTTCAAAAGACCCAGAACCTCGATATTGGATGTAGTAAACTTTTCTAATGTTTGATTTTTTGTAACTATCAAAATTAACAGTTATTAAAAACAACTAGCAACAAGGGTGTTCAACTGATAAAACAACATTACTCAATAATATAATCACATTTTATACTGTCCATTTTAATATACTTTAGGGTATTTCACTTAAATTAAACCTTAATTACTAAATTTCTATTTACTTAATTGTAAACTTTTAGATCCAATTTACCATAATTACTTCATAATAAAATTTCTAAGCAGCAGATGTAATTTAAGCTTAAACATTCAAAATAACATATGCATGAAGTATCTGAAATTTTCCATGTAAATATGCAACACTCCAATATCCATTAATACGGTAAGTCTAGAAACAAGCTTTTACAAAAGGTACCATAGGCACAAGTTTACTCAAGAGAACATTAAATTAATTTCAACTTATAACAATAATCTATATCTTTTTTCATAAATAGCTTGTTTTTTAGGCCATACAAGCTTTATTTTATGTGAGATTGACGTATAATAAATTTGTGCACCTAAATAGTAAGTTAATATAGAAAATTTTTGTAACTTCTTAGTTATGGAACCAAGTCATATCATAGGAAAATATCCATATAAAACATGCAAATGTCTATTAAAGATAATAGGTTGAATCTACATCTTATAGCTGAATTTGTAATTCAGAGAGAAAATAATTAAAATAACTAGGAAAAATACAATTCTTCATTTGTCCCATAACACAGGCTTCTTGCCAAATTTCTCCCTTTTGAAAAATTAACACATTATGAAATAAAAACAATTTCTTGGAGTACATGTATATTTGAGAAAAATTAAGAAAAATGCAAAACAAACAAGATTGTTTTCCATATAAATATTAAAATGACATGTTACGTGGCTCCCTTTTTTAACTTTCTTCAAACATGTTTACAGTGCATATAGGAAATACAAACTTGTCTGACATTAAGTCTGACATTGTTGTTGCATACATGTGTAGTAGGATGTATACTATATAATGAGTCCACTGGAATGGACAGCAACTGTCTGTTGTAGAATAAACAGGCAGTTGCTGCCCATTCCAGTGTACTCATCATGAATAGTCTGCCTAAACAACCTATCAAAGCACACAATATGTTTTTTTACTTTCTTTTATTAATACAGAAACTTTAAAAATTTTGTATTTAATCTGGTTATATACAGTTTTGCATAAACACGTGATCCAAAAAACCACTGAGTTATTTTTGTTTTAGTTACCTTTCTTCTTTTATATTTTCTAACAGATACCTGTTCCACTTGTGGGGATATTGCTGCAACTGACAGCAATAACCTTCACTGGCCAAATATATGATATCTAGAGGTTACAGTCTTAATTATGTTGTAAATGAATGACCATTCATGTGATAAACCTGCATCGTTATGGGTACATGCAATACTTCCTATTAATACAAAGCACTGAATTCACACCAGTTCTACTTAGTCTTCACAGTCATAGATCCTGTAGAAGATGTACATCCAGTTTTACACAAGTACACACTGTGTTTTTTTGCTTTGCAATATAAATAAACATTGTGTTTCAGTGTACATCAAGTGTTCCATTTTGTTTATACCCTCAGCTTTAAACTCAGGGTTATCGTGCAACTTTCCTGACTGATCCTCTTGTTATGAAGCAGACCTATCTAACACTCAGTTGGAAATCAGTTTCACCTGAGAATACCACAAATGTATTATAGACCAAACAAAAGAAATTTGTCACTCCTTTAAAAAATAGCATAAGCATAGATCACATCTTATTCTCTACTAAATATTTAAAAACTCACCGTAAGAGAAGTACTGACACTGCTACCAGGGTGTAGGCCAAAAGTGTACCAATAGACATCATATCAGCTAGTTCATTAACATCAAATAACATTGCCATCAAACCTATAAAGAAACTTTTTTTAAGAAATTCAGGTTGGATGTGAAACCTTACTGATTTATCACAAAAAAGTAAAGCACATATTTTGTTTATATAAATAAAAAAATAAGGTTAATTGAAAACGCTTTAATGTTTTAAAAATACTGGATTTTTTGTTTTGCTTGGAATTTTTCATTTCAAATAACGTACTAAAGAAAAAAAAATCCAACAAAAGTACTAGCATATCACTATGCTTCAATTTAAATTTTGATTTTAGCAGTCATATTCAATACATTAGTATTGGGTACAATGGTGTCACAAGAAAGTGAAACCCTACCCCGGTGAAATTAATCATTTGGTAAGACTCAGCCACCAAAATGTCAATGGGTAAAAGTTGGGCATTCACGATTTTAAAAATACAATGAAAATAAAAAAAACAATGTTACATTTCACTGTGTGTTGCGGCATGTGGTTTACCGAAAGCAAAACTATCTTTTAGGAGCAAGAAATTTCAGATTGAATTGTTATGTACCATGCTTTATCACTTTAAAATTTTACAGAAAGCAAAACCATCCAGCAACAAGAAATTTTGCATTGGATTGTTGTTTATCATTGTATTATTTTTTATTTCACCTGTAACTTAAATCTTATGGAAGGGATCTTTTATTATTTGCAGATGAGGATAAAATCAAACTGGAATCAATGAGCAATTTTTAATTTTTACACAGTAGTAAGGAATTTGTTTTTATCGAACATGAAACCCTTTGGTAAAACAAACTTTTACATCACTTATTACTTGTAGTTTTGAATTTTACCTAATTGTGTAGAGTTTTGTTTACTGAATCTGTTGCTGAAACATTCAGCAAAAGTAGCTTCACATTTATTTACTGTATTACATTCTACGTTGTTTAGCCTTTCCTGAGTATTAAAGTGTTTATTCTCTATTCACGTACTGATAAAGCTTAGCTGAATTAAGATTTAGGCCTGCTAAGTCTCATGAATTTACTCATCACTTCAACAACAGTAAAATAGATAGGTATAAGCTAAAACGACATGCATAGTTACCTAGATGACTGTACATACTAGGTTTCAATAAATTTATGATTCTGTCAAATGTTTTTCACTCTTTACAAAGAAAGGTTATTGAAAATATTAAGTGTTTTTGATAAATGTGTAGAGGACCAGTGTATAAGAGTTTTTGAAGATTTTTTTCCTTTAGTTGTGAAAAGGTTGAAGAAATAAAACAAAGTAACAAACAAGGCAAAAGGTTATGCAATTAAAGAACATCTCCAAGAACCAACACTGTATTATGAAGACACTAGTGTATTGCCCATTGAAAATAACATGTTATGAAAACTCTGTAAAGATTGCTATAAATTAACTAACAACAATTTTATAACCATTAAATATCACATTTTTGTTTCTTAATATTTCTTTATACGCAGCATTGAAAATGTTTACATCATTTCTAATGTTAAAAAGCATCCTAAAAGAAATTGAAAAAATTTTCAGTATCTTAATTATTGCTGCATAATACAATATTTTTAAATGTTTTTACATTCCTATTTTTCTATTCATGTAAATTTTCACATGTTGTAACAAAGCATTTAATATTAAAGAAATATTAATTTCTTTAATTGCGTAATTTAAATGCTATGCATTCACACTTATACACATGTAACTAAAGATTATCTAACTCTAATGTTAGTAATAGTAGGTCTATTTGTAGTATAATTTATGCATTAGGCCTAACATATAAATGTAACTTACGGCTTAGCTGAAATACTACTTCATCGAAATCCTTGGTAAGTTTTATTTTGCTTTTGTCTATAACTCAATGTGAAAAACTTAGATGTTCATTAAACAACCGAAAACAATATAAATAAAATGTTATTTAGCTTATCATGGTGCAATAAAAGATCCTAAAGTATTATTTGGTTTCTTGATAAAAGAGTTAGCACAAAGGATCACATATAAAGTGTAATAAACTTAA